GCCTTTAGGGCCGAGCCTGCGGGCCCGCTTGGGGACAGAGGGGACAAGAAGCCCTCCTGGCCTGAGAGGGAGTCGGTGGTTGTATCTGGTAGCCCAGGCCGACTTCAAGAGTGGGGCAGCACTGGGAGACTTCATCGGTTTTGTTGGCTAATAATAACTGTGATGTTAGTGCAAAGAACCCTCGTTTTGGAGTAAAAGGGCTCTTCTGCTACAGCTCCCAGCCCTGTGTCAAGTTCACAGCCTGAAATGCTGCTGCGCGGAAGTTATAAATTCGGTCCTGTGCACCGCACCCGCGCTGGTCAGCAAAGTCCTTGCGGCTGCAGGCAGAGGTTGCTGAGAGGCATCAGAATCCAGAAGCAGCGGCACGGCGCGCAATCGGGGAGAGGGTGAAAGTCCTCTGGACTTTGAAGTGCTTTATATGGCTCCAGATTGCTAGAGCAAAGGCCTGCGGTCGAGTTTGATAGCAGTAGCGTAGGAGTAGTAGCTTTATAGCACACTTGGCTTAATGCCTTGCCGTGACTGTGCTCTTTGCTGCAGAGACAAAACCCCAGATTATAACTTAGCAGTGCAAAGATAAAGTCCTTGCTGGCAGGTGGGGGTTCAGCACCAACCTTGTACCTTGAAAAGGGAACTGTGACCATCAACCTGCTCTGCCAAGTGGGAACGTGGTATATTTTCAGTGTGTTATATGTCACGCACTAACCTCTATTACATGTGGACTCTTCTTCGTTACTTGAGGTTTTCAGTGTTCTTAATGATGGTTGTTTACCAGACTTCATGTGGACAAAGCCAGCTGATGTCTTCATCTTGCTCCGTTGATAATAATCTCTTTGCAAATGAGAAATAAAAGGCTCTGGTCCCTGACAGCCCCTCATGAGGGGTGCTGGCGCTGCTGAAATAGGAAGGCTGATTGCACCAGTTCCATGAGTTGGCCCATTTTCCCCAGCACTGACAAATTGTGCTGGTGGGACAGCACAGGAGACACTGAAACCTCACTGCTTTGTGGAGGCAGCAGGTGGAGACAGGCATTAGCTGGGATTTGGTTTGGAAAGGGAATGGTCTCAGTGCCCGGAGAGGTCTCCGCTGTCTCCTGCTGCATCATGCAGTACTGTCCTGGGTCACACAGACAAATGATGTCTGAGGTTTGGGGTTGTGCAAGAGCACTTGTGCCAGTTGGTTGTGAGGAAGGGTCCTTGTGCTCACTTGCAGCCAGGGAGGGTGGTGGAGCACTCGGGGCCAAGCAGTTCCCAGCAGTGCGGGCTGACAGGGAGCAGGAAGGAGGGAGAAGCGTGCAGCACGGCCCTGCTGCTGGGTGCACCTTCTGCTCCATGCTTTCATCTCAGGCCTGCGCGAAGATGCGCAGAGCTGTTGAATGCAAACCACATGGGCCCTGGTGTCTCCTGGCCTGCAGAAGTTGGTAAATGCCAGCAGCTGCATAGCGCTGGGGGCTGTTCACTGGCTTGTGTCTCTGAGACGGTTCCTGGAAGCTGCAGGGGTGAGCATCGCTCATCCAGCCAGTGCCTTTTTACCTAAAAGTTTTGGTTATTATTGCTGTTGTGGTAGGTTTTATTATTATTTTATGGAAGGATGACCTTAGTGGTACAAAGTCACCGTTCCCCAGCTCCTTTCAGCTCAGGTGATTTCTCAGCAAGTTTGTGTTTGCCTGTGTTGTAATTCTCAGTTTACCTCTCATTCCCAGAGCTTCCTCAGTTTCCTTTTGCGTTTGAAAACTGCATTCACAACATCCCTGGGCACAGAGTTCCACAGGTCTGTTTTCTGCTGCATGAAAAAAAACCCCTTTTGGTTTGTTTTGAATCTGTTTCCTGGCTTCATTCTGCACACACATACCTGCCCGTAGCGAGCTGCCACTTCAGCAGTCACACCCCGAAATAGTAACGGGCTCTTTTTCTGTGGCAGCACCACGATGGCTGTTCTCTCAAAGGAGTATGGGTACGTCATCCTGACGGGGGCTGCCAGCTTCGTCTTGGTCATGCACCTCGCACTGAAAGTGGGCAAGGCCCGCAAGAAGTACAAGGTGGAGGTGAGTGCTCAGGCCGGGGGAAGGTCGGAGCTGGTGTGCAGGGCATGTTACAGACAAGCAAGGTAACCCCTTGCTTATTTTTGGGTGACTTGCTGATATATCCTGCCCCACCAAATGGATGTAGAGGGGGAAGGGATGGAGCTGCCATTCTGGCTTTCCAGACTGAAGCAGACAGCACGACAGAGCTTGGGGTTTGGCACATCAGGTGCTGCGCACTGAGCTGAGATGGCTGAAAGCACAAGGCTCTGAGCTCAGAAACGCTGACGAGCAAGAAAGTGCCCAGCCCTCTTTCCCTGTAAAGAAAGCCAGTGCAGCACTGGGGACAAAGGGCGGTGGAACAAAAGTGACAGGAAGGTTTCTCAAACCCAGGAGGAGCATGTGAGCCCTATCACAAGAAGCCTTTCAAGGTGACCTTTCCATGGCATCTGTGGAGAAGCTTGTGAGCTGGGCAGGGCCGTGGGCTGGGTCGGGGTGGCCCTTCCTGAGTCAGGGCCACGGCAGCTGGAGCTGCTGTGCCACTTGGCTCGGCATAGAAACGCCACTCGAGGAAGTGGCAAGGAGGGGTGGGTGCAAGGACAGCCCCCAGCAAGCACTGCAGGTCCCGGGTGCCTGTTCACAGAATCACAGAATCACACAGAATCCCAGACCGTTAGGGATTGGAAGGGACCTCCAAAGCTCATCCAGTCCAATCCCCCTGCCGGAGCAGGAACACCCAGATGAGGTTACACAGGAAGGCGTCCAGGCGGGTTTTGAATGTCTGCAGAGAAGGAGACTCCACAACCTCTCTGGGCAGCCTGGGCCAGTGCTCTGTCACCCTCACTGAGAAGAAGTTTCTTCTCCAATTTAAGTTGGGGTGACCCTACTCCTGCTGCATGAAGACAGGGTTGCAGCAAAGCTGCCCCATGGGTACGGTGCACAGAGCACAATTTCAGCTGCAGCCAAGGGGCGGTTCTGCCGTGGTGAGGAAGGCAGTGTCCTCCCAGCCTGTTCCTGGCTAATGGGATGAGATTTCAACAGGGAGGTCACCCAGTACCTGGCCATCTTCTCTTCAAATCAGGGCCACCTGCACGGTAGTCAGGTTGCAGGGAGTTCAGGAACCAGCCTGAGGCAAGCAGCAGATTTGCTCATACGCTGCTGCTGGTTTATTTTTTTGGCAGTATCCAGCCATGTACAGCACCGACCCTGAACACGGGCATATGTTCAACTGCATCCAGCGTGCACACCAGAACACGTGAGTACCACGTATGAATGCGCACCTTGAAAATGCAGAGAGGGCTGGGGAACAGGGCCTAAAGCGAGAGACTTGCTGCTGCTGAGTGCTTGGGTTCAGGCTCAGCACCTGAGGAAAATGCACAGCCACGTCATGTTTAGCAGTAAGGCTGTGCTGGCTCCTCATCACGCCTTAGACCATGAGAGGGGTGCTGTGAAGCAGCCTCCTCTTCCCCAGTGCTTGCCTCTTTGCCTCCCTGGGTGGATATTAAGGCATCAGAAATCGTGTTTCCAAAGGAGCCTGTCTGGGGGCTGCTGATCTGTTGTGCTGCCCAGATCTCCCTGGGGAGATGATAAGGTCGGCCAAGCTGCAGCAGCACATCAGAGGCGTGCTGGGAGGAACAACATGCCTGTGCATGCTCAGATTCCCCATTTCCTCCATCTGTGGCCACAGTATTGAGCACAGCTCTCCTGAACATGGGACTCATGAATCGGGCCCAGCTGAAACCTGGGCAGGGGATGCTTACAGCTTCCATGTTTCTGGAGTTTCCTCTTCGTAAGCAACTTGAGCACAAACACAACCAACCTCCTTGCTTTTATGTTCAGGTTGGAAGTTTACCCCGCCTTCCTGTTCTTCTTAGCCACCGGTGGACTCCACCACCCGGTAAGTGAAGTTGCGGTGCAGGTCTGCACAACCAAACTGCTCTTGCACCCTGATGGAGGGGGCGAGGGGCAGGAGGCCAGGCTAGCCCCTCTGGAGGCAGCAGGCTGCTTCACCAGCCACATCTCACTTCACAGCTGTGTTCTTTATGAAAATAGTAGTAGTAGAAGGTCTTGTGCAGGAGAACCACAAGTATTTAATAAACTCATTCCTGCTGCTTCAGTTCTTAGACCCCTTTCCTTCCTCTAAGGGTGCCTTTGGGACAAACCAAAGCACTCTAGGCCATGAGTGGGAAGGGTCCCTTCACCCCTGCCTGGTTCTTCCAAGCCTGCAGGGTCCCACTGAGCTTACAGCAGTGCCACTCAGCAGCTGGCTGTGTGGAGAACAGGAACCCTTCACAGAATCACAGAACATCAGGGATTGGAAGGGACCTCAAAAGCTCATCCAGTCCAATCCCCCTGCCGAAGCAGGAACACCCAGATGAGGTTGCACAGGAAGGCGTCCAGGCGGGTTTTGAACGTCTGCAGAGAAGGAGACTCCACAACCTCTCTGGGCAGCCTGGTCCAGTGCTCTGGCACCCTCACTGAGAAGTTTCTTCTCCAATTTCAGTGGAACCTCCTGTGTTCCAGTTTGTGTCCGTTACCCCTTGTCCTATCATTGTTTGTCACCGAGAAGAGCCTGGCTCCATCCTCGTGACACTCACCCTTTATATATTTATAAACATGAATGAGGTCTCCCCTCAGTCTCCTCTTCTGCAAACTAAAGAGACCCAGCTCCCTCAGCTGCTCCTCATAAGGGAGATGCTCCACTCCCTTGATCATCTTTGTAGCCCTACGCTGGACTCTCTCCAGCAGTTCCCGTCCTTCTTGAACTGAGAGGCCCAGAACTGGACGCAATATTCCAGATGCGGTCCTTCTCCCATGTAAACGCCCTTTCATGAGGAGTTATTCTGGTGATCGTCCCACTCACTTTCATTACAAAAGGAGGTACGTGAAGGATCAAAATAAGCCTGGATTATGTGTAACTGAAAGATGCAGACAGCTCACGAGGAGGCAGGTACATGCAAGAGGCCAAAGCCAGCAGCTCGCTCTTTGCCACCACCAGACAAATCAGGTCCTTCCTGAATATTCCTTTTTGGAGAGGGAAGGAAGCATAGGCAGATCTGGGAAACTGGAGCCAAGTTGCAGCAAGCTCTAAATTAAGAGGCAAAGTGCAAGTTTCTAACAGCTGCAACAGGAAAACCTGTACCCCCACTGAAGACAGTGGAGTGGAGCTTGGGGCAGCTGCTGCCTCCAAGATCCTGGCACCTGGTCTAGCTCACTAATGGGACAGTGGTGAAATGAGATTCAGCACCTGCTGTCTGTATGACTTAAATCATTCCTTGCCTGGGAAGAGCTGAGCTGCAGAACAGGAAGACTCTGCAGCACATCCCATGCTACCTCCCCATAGGCATCATGAAAGCAACTCGTATACAAAGCCCACCCTAGCCCACTGCATCCGTCACCCACCTTCATCAGGCTGGCTCCCAGTTGTCCTAACAAGGTCAGGACTCACACGGTACCTGGTGATCATTTCTTTGAAGCAGGGCTGCTGTTAACAGCTAAGTACATGCAAGCAGCAAGTCTCCAAAACCTTTAATGCTTCCCCTTTCTCTCTAGCGGCTTGCCACGGGGCTTGGCATCACCTGGATCCTTGGGAGAATCCTCTATGCCCATGGCTACTACACAGGAGGTATGGCTTTACAGCAAGGAAGGTGCTGGGAAATGCAGATCTCCTACAGTGCCCTCAGGGCTCTTTTATGCAGCTCATGTCAAGGAGGCAGCATAAAACTTCCAGTCAAGGTGTTGGAAAGAAGGGTGCAGATCCACAGGGCTGCCAACCTTGCTGGATGCTCTTTCTATTGATAGGAGGGGCACTGATCTAATAGTAGAAGAGACCCGGGGTGGGTGCATGGCCCGAGCTGGTGCCTGCTGCTTTGCCTTGAGATTTCTCTCTAGTTCCTGCTCCCTCTAACTTTAAGGATGGGTTGGTCTCAGCGATGGGCTGCTGAACTGAGAAAACGTGTGGTTTTTTTCCAGATCCCAAAAACCGCAGGAGAGGGACCATCGGTTCAATTGCACTCCTCGTGCTGGTGGGCACAGGAGTGCATTCAGCTTGCGAGCACCTCGGCTGGACCTGCCAGCGCTGACCAACCAGCAGGATGGCTGGCTGGGAAACCGAAGGCATTTCTCGTTTGTTTTCTTGTAGAATGTTTAATTCCCTGTTTTCTCCTCATTCAATAAAATGAAGTTGTCAATTCTGTATTTTCATTCTAAAGTTACAGAGGGTTTTCTTAAGGAGTTTTGCAGAATGCTGGAACAGCTCTGGTTTTGTAAGGACTACAGGGGAGATATCGTAGCTTTTGTGATTCCAGTGACCAAAAAGCCATCTTGCAACCCGTTTAACCCATACAGCAACAGCCCTATTTCTGGCCCCCTCAGTTCATGTCACTCTGCAATAAGATGTTCCAGACAGAGTTAATCTTTATTTGACTGCTAGAAAAAGATGTAGGCAAATATTTAAAGTTGTTGCTTCACCATGTTTATAAAGAACAGTAGGCCTACAGGAAGGAAGCCAAATAGTTTTCACTACCCTATGCTGGAGCTTGCTACCACTCTGGTTGTGCTCCATACTCTGTATGTGGAGATGATTCTCAGGGCCATGCCTGTCCCATCCTCACAATATTTTGTCCCACCTTGGAAGTAAGGTACAGATAGAAAAAACAAAACTTAAGTTTACAAGGGCGCCACAGAGAATAAACAGTCCTACCCTTAAGGCTTTTATGTAGTCAGAGGATAGACAGAGCCTATAGCTACAGGGTATCGGTGTGTCCAAGAGCTTATACGTGCACTGAGTAGGGTCATATCTATCATAAGAAGTCAGAAACAAAATTGAGGGCAGAAGGCTGTGGAGTTCAAGGTGTGCAGCAGGGGAGACAGCCTGGGTCAGGCATCTGCTGACACCTACACGGCTGCACAAGCTGCTGCTCAAAGTCACATTGCTGCCTCTTCCTCCGAGGCTCCCATATTCCACCTGCCAGCACAGAGCAGGCCCACAGGCTGAGCTCTGTGTGTGCATTCCCTCTTGCAGGAGCATGGGTGGCTAAATGCTGCTCCAGCTCTCTTTCCCCCCCAGGCACTTAAAATTTTTAGAGCACTTTATTGCTGTGTAAATGATCCACGTGTCTGGCTGACAGGCAAGAACTGGCTGATGCTCCCTTGAGCAGGCCCCAGAGCCACTAAAACACAGATTCCACATCGCCCATCTCCACACAGACAGTCTTCAGTTGTGAGTAGTACTCAATGGCTGCCCGCCCGTTCTCTCTGCCAAATCCTGCAGAGATAAGCCAGAAGTGAGAACAGGGCTCCAGGCAGTGCCAGGTACCAGTCACACCCCCCATAACAGGCATGGAGTCATACCAGGGAAGGTCAAACAGCTCACCTGATGCCTTGTATCCTCCGAAAGGCAGCTCCACAGGGCTGATGTTGTAGTTGTTAATGAAGCACATCCCAGCCTTGAGAGCAGCCACTACCCTGTGAGCCTTCTGGATATCTCTGCAGGAAAAGGGCAATTCAGCTGGATCCCTTCCCATTCAGCCCCTCCTTCACTGCTATCTGACACCCCACTAGAGAAAGGCCAGCAGGTTGCAGTGGTTTTTGAAGCCCAACCTGCCCTACTCTGTCTCTGCCTGCTCAAAGGACGTAGCACCTATTCCCAAGGACACTCAAAACTGCTTGAGTTTGCTTGACTGTTTGGTTTGAGAGGGCAGGACAAGGACACCAGCAAGACAGACTGTGGCAAGCGGGCAACAGTCATCTTTGCACGGTTTCAGCAGTGTAGCAGGGTCCTGGTGCATGTCTCCAGGGGATGCAGGAAGGCAGGCAGCAAGCCAAGCGCAGGCTGGAAGGAGTGTGAAGGACAGCTGGGCCCACCTAACCCTTCAGGAAAAACTGGGAGAAGATGTGCAGCCATGTACAAAGTCCTCTTTTGGCAATCCCCTGCTCCAGCTTTTCTGGCAGAGGATACCTGTGCCCATGCCAGGCACCGCAAGAACAGCGTCAGTAATTGCTGCAGTGTTTCCTCTCTCTGGCCCTCCCTAGACTGCTTCGATGCTGGCCGTGCTACCCAGTCATACCTGGTGAAGACACCACCTGCTAGGCCAAATTTGGTGTTGTTGGCTCTCTCCACAACCTCCTCCTCAGTGTCAAATGGCAGAATGGACATGACAGGCCCAAAGATCTCTTCCTTCACACACGTCATGTCATCCGTGCAGTTTCCTGGAAGCAAGGCCGAGCACATGTGCTTCAGGAGGAAGGGTTAGCAGAACAGCATGTGTATTCAGCAACCCACACACCCTTCGAGACAGCACTTGGCGCTGCACAGCTCGGCTAGCTGAAGACCCACCCTGCATCTGAAGGCTGCCAAGGCAGTAACTGCTTATGTCCTCTCAGATCCTCCAACAGCAGAGATTTCTCTGGACACAGTTCTTGGGTGCCTCAGCTCTCTCCAGTACACCCCTACCAGTGCCTGTCCACACTGTGGATGTACACAGAGGCAGGTTACGCTGAACACGGCTTTCTCTACAAGAAACTCAGCAACACCCACGTAGAAGACTGCAGTACCCATGAATATGAAGGATCATACCTAACACACAGGGTTGCAGGTAGTAGCCGTTCTTCAGCTTTGGGTCATCTGGCACGTACAGGTCCCCACCACATAGCACCTTTGCCCCCTGGAAAAGAGTTGAGCAGAAGGTAGGCAGGCACATCCAGGGGCATCCTGCCCAGCTGCTGCAGCTCTCCTCTCCTTTCCCACATCTCCTTCCACATGCATCTTCCTGTTTCTAAATTCTTATCTAGCCCTCCTGGCTTTCACTCACAGTTGTCCTTCTCCAGCCCATCTCCAAACTGGTTACACCTAGTCACTGCACTTAAAACACCTTCACACTTCACAATAAAAGCTGGAGGGAAAAACAACAACAACAACAGCAACAACAAAGCCTGGGCAGATCTTATCGCTCTTACAGACATTGTTTCCAGCAGCCTGTAAATCTGGTCTTCGATCCTTAGTAAGCTCTTTCTGCAACCAACAAAACTGGAACCCAAACGAGACAACAGCCAAGCACACAAGGAGTCACTACAACTTATAAAAGAGAAGCCACACGGAATGTATGGATTCTCCCATTTTACACGTTGCCGTGCTGGGTATCTCACAACCTCTAAAACTTGGCAACGTCAGAATATGAAAAGCCACATCACCTGCAATGTGGATTCAGAGATGTGTAACTGGGTCACTTTTAATCTAGTGGCCCTAGACACCTATCGAGTGATTCAACAACAAGGAAAGAGCTTAACTGGGAAGGCAAGGGGCAGAAAAGGAGCTGCTGGTGTGTTTGTCTAACAAAAAGGAAGAGACACCTCAGGACAGTCACAAGGCAGCATCACAATCTCACCTGCTCCTTCGCCTGCTTGATAAAGCCCTGGACACGATCCAGGTGGGGCCGGTTGATGAGGGCTCCCATCCGGGTGTCTTCCAGAAGCGGGTCTCCAACTTTAATTTTCTGGGTGCGTTTCACCACCTCCTTTGTGAAGGCATCCAGGATCTTCCTCTCCACAAACACCCGTGTGCCGTTGCAGCATACCTGGGATACAGGACAAGCTGCTGAGAACAAGACACGCAGCACTTGGCAGTCCTTCCTGCTACAAAGGCTCTCAGAAAAGCCCCTCCACAGTTGCTAAAACAACTAACTTGCCCCTGGGGACACAGACAACTAGGCCACCCTGCTGCTCATGACTACACTGAACAGTCTGTGCTGGACATCGTGGTACTGATGCCACCAGGTGGCAAAACCGCATCAAGTCACCAGCAGGAGAGAACTTAAGCAACCTTCTCAGGTCCCAGAGATGACCCCAGTAAGCCAACTTGCCAGCAAGATAACACAAAACCTACAGCACCTGTGGAGATTCCAAATGTGGGACGGACACAGCCCCACAGGGCTGTGGCTCAGCACAGCAGACTGGAACCTGCTGCCCCTCCAGAGGACACCAGCGCAGCCTTGTCCGATCTCTGTGCACCAGAGCAGAGCCCAGGAGCAGCTGCTGAGCTGGGTGCTGGAAAGGCTTCACTCTGGGGAAGGACAGGGCACCAGCTAAGGCATGCTCCACTGGGGCACCCTGCAACAGCTTCTGCAAGGGCATCTCTTCTGATCCCTTGTGACACTGCACAGGGAAACGCGTGCCAAGATGGGAGCTTCAGGGCATCCCTCACTAAGCAAGGTCACAGGCTGACTGCTGCCCAACTCTCAAACCATCCCACCGCACTGGGGAGGACCGCTCCTTCCCCACAGACACAAACCTCGCCCTGCGTGAGAAAGTTGGCCATGAGGGCTCCATTCACAGCGTTCTCCAAGGCACAGTCCGAGAAGATGATGAGAGGGGATTTGCCCCCCAGCTCCAGGGTGACTGGTTTGATCCCTTTAGATGCCATCTCCATGATCTGAGGAAAACAAGGACGGAAGAGACTGGTGGAGGGAGGTAAGGGACACCCAAGGGGAGGGTTCCCGCAGGGCCCTTCACCAACAACAGATGCAGCATGAAGGGCAAGCTGGGTTTCCTAGAGGTGATTAGCTCAGACTGGGGACAGTGTCAGAGGGTTTAGGGTTTGTTTTTTGAAAGATAAAAGCAACAAAACCTGCGAAGTCATTTGCAGGAAATCTGGTGCTCAGAGTAACCCCGGAGGAAAGTTGTAACTGCATCTGCGACCATACCCCACAGGTACACACATGGAAGGAGAGTTCAAGGAGCAACATTTCCCCTCTTCCAAATTAAAATTTATTTTTGTCTTTTTAGGGACTTCAATTATTTGAAGAAATTCACAGAAACTAACCTCCTGCTTCAAACCAGTAGGTCGTGGACAGCTAAACCAAACTATTACTGCCAGAAACGCTCGCACATTTTCCCAGTGCTGCCCCGTTTCACGTACCCTCGGCCCCACACAGATACCCACTTTAGCAGCTCAGAAACTTCACCGCAGTCAGGGGCTAAACAAGTGAAGATGATCAAAGGGCTCCTCTGAAAGGACCAAGCGCCCAAGCCCATGCCCAGTACGTTAACTGGAACCCCAGTGCAGCCCTGTCCAGAAATGCCAACT